TGAGGGGAGCAGCGGGCAAGTCAGGAAAGGTCTGTTGCGCCATGTGGGTAACTCCCTGGCCGGGGATGGAACTCGTGCTACAGTGGTTGTGGAAATCTTCACAGATTGCGTCTTAACCCCTGTGCCAATAAGGAAGCCCCTTTTTTGCTTGCTTTTTGTTTTATTTTAGTTTTTAAAGATTTTTTTATTTATTTATGCATACAAGATATGGGGTATAGATCAGAGGTATGGGAGGGTGGCAAGAATTCACCAGAGTCAGAGTGGAGAGCACAATAGGCAGATGTACTGAAATACACTGCTGAGGGGAGCAGAGGGCGAGACAGGAAAGGTCTGCTGTGCCATGGGAATAACATGCTACATTTGTAGCCGTGCAACCAATTCCCCTAAAACATGTACAATAAACATAATTAAACATTTTTGTGTCTTTTCATTTTGTTTTGTTCATTATAAGAAGTGCTCGTTACAGTGAATTGTGTTCGTTTTAAGAATGAGCATATAGTGGTGATTTAATAGGTTTTGTGATTGTTAACTAAACACAATATGAAATAATTCTCCTGGTTTTTAGATTCCGTTTGGGAGCTCAAAACCCAACTTCTTTCACTTTGTTACTATGCCATTGGGTCCCCATTCTCAGGTGGCTAATTCTAGGTAACTGGGATTTCTGAAACCAGTTGTTCAGCAGTTTGCGGTCGTGAGTAAGAACAATGGGAGTGGCCCAACACCACAACCTACCCAGCAGACAGGACTGACTGAAAAAGTGAGCCTGGTATGAATAAAAGGCAAAGCCAGAAGTCAGAATGGTGATAGAATACTCTGGAAGCATGAGACACAAACAAGCCAAAAAAGATATAAAAAGAGAATGGCTTGCCAACTGAGAGAAGTTAGTAAGCAAACCTGATTCAAGATAGCCTGAGAAATTTGGTCACAGAGGAAATACAAGAAACTACAACAGTTCAGCAAACTGAGCATCATGGTATTCCTGAATATGGTCATGGAAAAATTGAAACCAATTCTGTGATGTGGTCTTGGTGTCCTTGCGTTAATGGTTTTATAATACAGAAAAACTGCATTGTGAGACTCAACTTGCTGAATTTGGTGACTGACACTTCCTGCTTTCAATTTAATTTTCTGACAGGAAACCCATCGATATGGCTAAAATGTAAATACATACAAAAAGATATGCCAGGTTTGCAAGGTAGCCCCCTTTGGATGAAACTGGACAAAAACAAAGGATGCATGGAATTTCTCTGTATTTTTTTATAACTATATATAAATCTAAAATTACCTCAAATTTTAAAAAATCTAATGGAGGGCCTCCCTGGTGGCACAAGAGGTTAAACACCGCACTATGAAGCAATCTGCAGCCTCTGCAGCACAAGTTCGATCCCTAGCCGGCCAGGAAGCAACCCACATGGTGCAGGAGACCTCTCCTGTCTCACCTGCTGCCCCCCTCAGCAGTGTATTTCAGTTAATCTGCCTGTTCTGTTCCCCACTCTGTCTCTTGGGAGTCCTCTCACTCCCCCCATCTCTGGCCTGTACCCCAGCTCTTGTATGTATAAATAAATAAAATCTTTAAAAAATAAATAAATAAATAATAAAAAATCTAGTGAAAAAACCCTATAGCAGGTAAAGTTTTATTTCTATTCTTATTCCCCATCTACTAAGCTCTGGCTGACCAAGACACCCTCTTCTCTCACTTTTACTAATCTCTTTATGCAGGAAAATACAAATACACACACACACCCAGGATAACATACTTTGTTTTGCATCTTGCTTTTCCCCATGTAACAATGTTTGGGAGATTTTTCCATGTCAATGTATCAATTTAAAGAGACTTCTTTGTATAAAGAAATATTCTTTGAATAAGCCATCTTTATTTAGCCTGCCCACTACTGATGGATATTTGTATTACTTACAACCTTTTTTTATTAAAAATGCAATGTTAGGGCCTTCCTGGTGGCGCAAGGGGTTAAGACACAACCTATGAAGCTATCCGCAGCCACTGCAGCATGAGTTCGATTCCTGGCCAGCCAGGGAGCTACCCACATGGCGCAGCAGACCTCTCCTGACTCGCCCCACAGCTCCTCTCAGCAGTGTACTTCAGCCAATCTGCCTGTTCTGCTCCCCGCTCTGTCTCTGGTGAATCCTCTCACCCACCCCCCACACCTCTGGCCCGTACCTCAGCTCTTGTATGCATAAACAAATTTTTTACAAAATACAATGCTAAAAAATAAAAGCAATGCTAAGAGTAACCTTGTAGGAATATGAACAACCTTGTAGGAATATGTCGTTATGACACACAATGGCCAAGTCCCTCCAGAGTGATCACATCAATTTACTTTCTCATCAGCAATAAATGAAAACCTGTTTCCCCAAAGCCTCACCAATAGAATTGTTGCATCAAATATTTGGGATTCTGCTAATTCAGCCAATGAAAAATGCCATCAGTAAATTAGAATTTTAATTTTTATTCTATTCATGAAGTTTAGCATCTTTCCATTTATCCCGTATACTGAGGAATAATATTAGGAGGAGAAAGTGTCTGATAAAGAAGCTGAGTTCGAAAGTTACACTGGAAGGAAGCCCTTCCAAAGTTCTGGCTCTTATTTGAAATGAAATGGCTCTTATTTAAAGTGTTCAACTTTTTAAAAAAAAAAAAAAAAAAAGCAGAACCTCAGATGAACATCATCATTGCATGAAAGAGAGTTCATCCTGAATGTCTTCAACCACCAAACTTAATGACCTTATCAAGTCTTCCCCAAAGGAATCTGCACTATCTTGGGGGCAGGGGAGCAAGGAACTGAATGGCCAGTAAGTGCCTAGGAACTACTATTCAACAAAATGTTGAGTCTTCATAGCGCTCACATTTGAGAGAGGAAGACATGTACTCAACATAGTAAATCAGTAAATCATAGTTCGTTAGAAGGTGACACGCTGTGTAGTGAATAACACTGGATATGGGGGAGTCAGGGGCCCTTGGGTGCAATTATAAGTAGGGCAATCAGGGACAGCCTCACCGAAATGATAGCATTTAAACAAAAGAGGAGGTAAGTAGGAAAGCCTGGAGATAATCTGGTGGAAAAACAATCTGGCAGAGGCACAGCCAGTGCAAAGGCCAAGAGGAGCAGGTGTGCCTGAGACATCCAAGACACACGGGATCCCAGAATGTCTAGAGAGGAGGGGACTGGGAGTAGGAGAGAGTAGAAGGCATTGAGATCAGATGAGTTACGGGAAATGAAGTCGAACACTTCTAGCCAAGGGGACTGATCCGGCATTTTTCTGATCACTTCCTAAGTTATGTTCTTATCTGCATCTTGCCCAAGCCCCAAAGAATTTAGTTTTTTTTCTAGGAGGGGCTAAGGGAAGCCAGTTCTTCAACTGCTCATGTAGGCAGAGAGCAGACAATGCTAAAGCCCTGGGCACAGGTATGCAAGCATCATTCGTGTTTGTTGTTTGTAGGTAGAAAAGGGACAAATCGCATGCCTTTTCTGCCTGTAATTCTGTTTTTCCTAAAGGCTTCCTCTCCTTGTTAAGTGTAAAACCCCTTCCTTGGAAGCCTGTGATTTGAACATCTCACACATGGCTGTCACCTCATTGGTCTTATCAGCTCATTTCCCCATATCTGAGTATCTTCTATTTCAAGTTCACTTTGGGGTGATAGTAATCATAACTACATCAGAAACCTCTGCAAAGACTCAAACCTTGTCTCTGAGAACCTGGCCAATGCATATCAAGTATTATCTGTTCCTGATCTTCAGATCCTAGACCCACACGGTTACAATTTTCTCAATTAAAGGCATTTAGGGAGACAGAGGAGCTCTATCTTTTTAGACAAGTCTCAGAGGATCTATCCCTCGTCAGGAATGACAGCAATGAGATGATGGCACTTGGAACAGAGATGTGCCATGGGAAACTAAACCCCGACTTCTGCAGGGGCCCAGGACTGCACGAGCCATACTGTGTGCTAGCAAACCAGCACCATCTCTCAGATTAGCTTCTGTGCACTACTCTGTATATTGCTCTCTCCTCCCATCTTGAAACCCTAGTTGCCTAGTAGTTCACCTAGTTTCCTTTTCCTCACCCACAAACCAAAAATCAAAATAACCAACCAACCAACCAACCAATCAACCAACCTACCTACCAAACAAACAAAAACCCACTGCAGAACACTGCTACCAAGCAAAATGGCTGCAGGGAGGGGGCTACAATGACCAGTACAGATCCAGTACAACCAGGCCAGCTCCAGAGCGGGCTGTAACACTAGTTGGAAGGATAGACCATTCTAGTGTTCAACTGCCATGGCAAGGCACAGAGCTGGCAGCCGGTGTCCTTGGCAATGAAGTGACCCTCAAGAAAGGTGGAAACCAAAGCTCATGAAAAATGACATAGTGTGATGACAAAAGATGCCACCAGTTGTTGACAACTTCAGGGCTCTGAGTCGCGAGTAGGGTACCCAGAAGTGTCTTAAGCAGCTTCAACCAAGCGGACTCCAAGGACCCGGAGGTTGCATTGGGTTGCATGGGACCGACCTGGGTGTGAATCCTGCTGCCATAATTTCCCGGCTGTGGCATCAGTATCACGTTGCTATTTCAACAGCCGCTTAACTTTGCTGGCATGAAAGCAGCCAGGCACAGGCTCCATGGGAATGTTGGGAAGCGAAGGTGAAGTAAGTGAGCTGTTTCATTCAGCACACACCTGGACGGGCCTCTGCCTCAGCAGGTGCCTCCCTCGGGTCCATGCCTGTTTCTGCACGGCCAGAGCAGCGTCTTCCTGCCCCATACCGGGTCCGAGAGTTCTCAATCCACCCCGAGCCCCTGCTGCTGCCACTGTCCGGTACTCACCTCTCAGGGGGAAGTCAGAACTCCCCAGCGGGCCCCCCCAGCCTGCGCACACCTCCCCGGCGGGCAGCCCTGGGGCTCTCGGCCCGACGCGCGCATCTGGATCCGAGCCCCTGGCCACCGCCCAGCGGCGCTCCCTGCGGGGTCCACCCTGCCCCTCACCTGATGTAGGGCAGGAAGGGGTTGACGTGCCCGGCGAGCACGGCGACCACGTAGGAGATGATGAAGGCGGCGGACGACCAGGTCACCAGGAGGAAGGGCACGAAGGCCATTCCCCTGAGGAAGCACAGCATCGCGCCGCCGCCCAGGGCGCACGGCGTTCGGCGGGAGCGGCACGGGGGGCTCCTCCCGGCTGCGGGGGGCGGCGCCGGCGCACGTGCGGGTGCGCCCCGCGGCGGCCACGGACGGCGGGACGGCGGCTCCGCGACGGCCGGGACGGGCCGGGCCCGGGAGGTAGGGCGAGCGCGGAGAGCGGAGCGAGGCGGCGGGCGGCGAGGCTGCGGGCCGGGGTGGGTGGGGCGCGGGCGGCCGGGCTTGTTGCGAAACCCGTGAAGTCACAAAGCGGGGGCCCCGCGGACCTGGCGCGCGCGGAGACCCGGGGCGCACGCGAAGGCGGCCCCTGTCCTTTCGCTTTTGGTTTGCGCTCCCCCGGCGCGGCCGGCGGGGCTGGCGGGTTGGGGGGCGCGGACCCGAAAGCGAGCGCCGACGGTCCCAGCCCGGGCGGGCCACCCTGGCTCTTGCGCAACTCCCGAGCAACGGCTCAGCAACTCCCGGCCCCTCCTTGCCGCGGGGCTTCCGGGACGCCGGGCCTCGCCTCCCCCCCCCCCCCCCGGGCTCCCCCTCTGAGGGCTCCCCCTCCGAGGGCCCGCCGCCGCGCGTCTTGGGGGACAGGGTTTGGCCTCCGCGGGTGACAACCACCCAGCCCTCGGGGATCCCGGCAGAAGTGTCCCGTGACGCTGGCCTGGCCTCGGGGCGCAGATCTGCACCTTCCTGGTTGGCCTACACCTCAAAACCCAGAATGCAGGGGCTGGTAGGGGTCGGGATGAGCCGAGCTGTAGCCCTGCCTGAGCTGCCCAAAGTTCTGCTTTTCACCAGAGCAGGCGTTTGAGTATTTCCTAGAAATGAAAATTCCTTTCTCATCTCCTAGCTCGGGTTAGTGCAGGCTTGGAAGGCTGACCTAAGTGGAGTTAAGGGTAACGAGACATTTCAAATCTTGCGAAAGGGATTTTGTACTCTGAGGCCCTGGCATACAGGATGATTTTTGAGGCCTAATTTAGGGATTCTGAGCCCAAGGTACTGTTACCAGGCAGGGTGAAGGGTCGTTCAGGAGCTCCACCCTTCCAGGGAGCCTGGAACCTCTCCTTTCCCTGGATTCCACCCTGTTACAATCTGTGGCCTTGGTCACTGGTGACCGATCAGGTTGATTTAGCCACATACCTGCTAAGGGATAGGATTCAAAGGTTAAATAGTAACCATGTGGTCTAAGAGACTGACATATCAAAGAAAAGTGAAATTACATAAAATATCGAGTAGATAGAAGAGAAAAAATTAAATAGAGATATGTCCCCTCTCCCCACTCCGGAAGAAGTTTTAGGAAGAAGTTTTCCTAATAGATGACAAAGTTTTCAAATGTAAATGATTGCTAATCAGGCAGAGGAATGTGAGACTAGCATTGCAGGTCAAGCAAACAGCAGGAGAAAATGCATGCACTGAAATTGCTTGTCTATCTGTGGCTAGAAAAAAAACGCTCCTAAGTGTAAGACAGAAAATGAGGAGGTGGGTAAAGAGGCCTCGGCTCTGAGCCCTGCTCAGAATCTTGGAGTTTTTGCTTGTTTGTTTTGCTGGCTGTCTTGCTAGTGAGGAGTGCGTGGTGTGTTGACATGTGAACAATCTTGTATTTCAGGAGATCATGTCCTTCACCCCCATCCTGAGGGAGCACGATCCCCACAATTGAATAAAACAAAAGTTTTAAGTCAAGGCTTTTAAAAAAGTTGAAGCAACATGTTTCGGTGTGCATCAATGAAAAATCGACATCTAGGGGCCTCCCTGGTGGCGCAGGGTTTAAAGACAGAGCTATCAAGCTATTGCCAGTCACTGCAGCATGAGTTTGATTCCCTGGCCAGCCAGGAAGCTGACCCGTATGGCTCAGGAGACCTTTCCTGTCTCACCCACTGCTCCCCTCAGCAGTGTATTTCAGTAGATCTGCCTGTTCTGCTCCCCACACTGTCTCTGGTGAATCCTCTCTCTCACATATACACCCCCCATCTCTGGCCTACACCACATAAATAAATCTTTAATCTTTGCATGCATAAATAAATCTTTAATTAAAAAAAAGGAAATTGCCATCTGTATATACTAATCAAGTTAACTACTCAAAAGTCCAATTCTGTCCTTTACCATGCACTTGTCCCCTTTTAGTCAATTTACCCATCTTCTTCCCCTTTCCTTCTGGTAACCACTGATTGGTTTTGTACTCTAAAAGTTTATTTTTGTACTATTTAGTTCAAAATCAAGGTAACTTACAAATCACAAAAATCATCCAATGAGCATACATCTCTGCATGGGTGTCTGTGTTCTGAAAACCATTCTTTTCTTTGTATTCCTTCTCATTCTCTCCCTCTTCTTATCTACTGGTTAATCCCATCTAAAAATACTGCCATGAGGCAGAGGAATTGTGACATCAAGTGGAATTCATCTTATCATTCTGGTGCTTATATATAAACAATGCAATTGGTAATAATTTTTTAAAGATTTATTTATTTATGCATACAAGAACTGGGGTACAGGCCAGAGGTGTGGAGGGTGAAAGGATTCACCAGAGACAGAGTGGGAAACAGAACAGGCAGACTGAAGTACACTGCGGAGGGGAGCAGCTGGCAAGTCAGGAGAGGTCTGCTGCGCCATGTGGGTCACCTCCCTGGCCGGGGATCGAACTCGTGCCACAGAGGCTGCAGATAGTTCACAGTGCTGTGCTCAACCCCTTGTGCCACCAGGGAGGCCCAATTGGTAATCATTCTTAACACCAACTTAATTCGAAGAGTTATCAGATTATAATAGCAATAGGTGTTTTGTTGTTTAAGTATGGTCTACATGCTTATATTTAAAATAAGTAAATATACCCATGTGGTTTCAAACACTTCTGAGAAATGTAGAGCATTGCTTTCTTTTCTAAAAGCTTTCAATAATATAGATCTGGTAAAGTCCTCTCCTTAGAATACTCAAGTTAACAATCGTAAGAAATGCAAAGTCCTGAAAAACAAATTTGCTAGTTGTTATGTTATCCAATATATAATCTCTTTGATATCATAATTACTTTGAACTGAAGGAAATTAAAAAGGAGTGAAAGCAGGCAAAGCTTTCTCTACCATCTTCCTCTCTTCCTAAAGCAGGATGTAATTTTTTTTTTCCTGGAGATGATTCCAGATTCTAGACTCTTGGAATCAGATTCTTGACATCTAGACTCTTAGAATCTGTACACAAACCTTGGGCCATTACTTTCCCCCACATAGTTACCCTCCCACGGTTTCCCTCCCTTAGAAGATTAAGTCATTTTCCTTTGCCCTGTCATTTCTCTACATATGTATTTTGTCCTTTGTTAAAATGGTATATAAATGCAAGCACTAGCCACCGCTTTGAATTACTCAGCCCTGGATTTCTCTGTGTATATATGAGATATGCATGATAAACTTCTGTGTTCCTTTTATTAATCTGTCTTTTGTAACAGAGGCTCAGACAAGAGCCAAGAATGGTGAAAGGTTTTTTCCTCCCCTATACTGGGTACGTTTCAAATATGTAATAAAATTTATGCTTCTCCCCTTGAGTTCTGACTTTCTGTCTGCTAAAGAAAGTTACACTGACTCAACTAAGCCTGCATGGACTGACCTTTTGAGAATGAAGTCGTTCTTAGCTGGTGACCACTTTTGTATCGAAAGGCAGGCAGTGTGTTTCCTTATCTAAGTGATCCACACACTGACAGATGTGATGTATACACACAATGGAATATTATTCAGCTATATAAAAAAAAAGATGAAATCTTGCCATTTGTGACAACATGAATGGACCTGGAGGAAACTATGCTAAGTGAAATCAGTAGGAGAAAGACAGATACCAGATGGTTTCACTCATAATGTGGAATATAAACAAAGGAACAGACAAAACTAAACCAAAATAAATTCTAGAAGATTCTAACTGCAGAATTGAGGCTACTAGAGGGGGAGTATAGGGTTAGCAGCAAAAGCAGCAGAGGATTATGGGTGCTTTGGTGGTATCTATGATGGGGTGGAATACATCTGAAGATGTAGGAATATATACCCCTGAATCATATACAGTTGTAAACCAATGTTACCTCCATAAGAATGATGCAATTTAAAAAAAAAGAAAAGGAGAGAAAATAAATAATACACCAATGCTCAGGTAGCATCCCATTTTTATTAATATTGTGAAAACCAAAGCTCAAGGTCATACAGCTAATTAATAGAGGTACAAAATTTGAACCCAGGCTTATCAGACTCAAAAACCTATGACCCAAGCCACTGTGAGGGACCACCTCACTTTTAACTCTTCAAATTCTTGAATTATGAAAGCAAACTCCAAATATATGTAGTTACCTTTTATTTGTGTGTGTGTGTATTCATGTAGGGATGCATATATTTAATTTGAAAAAATATACAGCGTTATATGACAACTAAGAAACATCCATAATTTCCTGCCAGTGGGTCATCTTTGATACTAGTTAATACTGGTGTCCAGAGTATCTGGTCTTTATACATTGCAGAGAACAGCAGCCTGATAGCATCTTTTTTTTTTTTTTTTTTTTTTTTTTTTCTGTTTTTTTTTTTTTTCTGATAGCATCTTAAAAGAGGAACCTCATATCACTGAGCACAAAAATCAACAAAGGTTTGGAAATTTTGGTTACCCAAAGAGAAAGAAACCAGAGCCCTTGGTGTGTTGATACCTGTTTGTGATGATAACCTGATCAGTACAAGTTATTACAGGCCTGGGCGATAATACCAGATGCTTCTACATAATATTTTCTGGCAGATGCTTTTATGCTACCAGAAATGAAAAAGGAAAAAACACATTTAAGAAATTTGGGAATTTCCATTATGACAGTAAGAATTTCTCATAAATTTTAAGAGGTCAGTTTTTTCTTCCTTCCCCTTATGAATAGTTTCTAAATTAACTTGGAAGTGTAACAACTCATGTGATCTGACTTTCTCGGCTTAGCTAACCTTAAATCTCTCTTCTTTCAAAAATCCTGCATGGGGTTTTCTTAGGAGGTATAGCCTGAGCTTTGGTTAAATCTATAGGAAAAATTTTGAAATATGATGTTCATGTTCACAATAATCCCATGAATTTGTTTC